TTTTAATGACAATGTACATAAAACGAAACAAAAACAAAACGTTATGTATGAGTTTGAAAAAATTAAAAGTTTAGGTATTAAAACGGACTGAATATGATAGTTTAAATACTAAATACATAGTTTGCCCTATAATCATTCAAACAATAATTAAAAGAACCCCTAACGGCACTTCACTCAACGTGCCGACTAGCCGTTAGCTTGACATTTTCCAATCTCTCACACCCTTAAAACCCCTCAGCTTTCCCCTGCTTTTTAACTCGATGAAAACCGTCATCATCTCGATTCCAGTTCACAATCGTCATTTCATATCCTCAAGTACAACCTGAAAGAATGTAATTCCGTGTCTTTTTCATTACCACAGGGGTTCAATATATACACAGTCATTAGTAGATACAATCCTAATCATTAGGCTATAATTTAGGAATTAGGCTATAACTTAGGCAACTAAATATACAATAGTAAATACAAAATATTTGGAGAATATTTTGTAATCTATCACTCTCCTGCAGTCGAAACGGGAGGATCTCGAACGTTAAGACTGGTCCGGAAATCGTCAAACAATATAAGGGGCAACCCCTTAGTGAAAATATCCGCAATCTGGTACCTAGACGGCACATGACGAACACGAACCTCACCCCGTGTAACTTTTTCTCGAACAAAATGAATATCCATTTCAATGTGCTTCGTACGTTGGTGTTGAATGGGATTACCAGAAAGATAGATAGCACTCACATTGTCGCAGTAAACCATTGTTGCTTTACGGATGGGACAGTTGAGTTCGAGAAGAAGATTACGAAGCCAACAAGACTCCGAGACAACGTTGGCAACTCCCCTGTATTCTGCCTCGGCACTTGATCGAGAAAGCGTAGGTTGTCGTTTGGACGACCATGAGATCAAATTGTCACCCAAAAAAACACAATACCCGGAGGTAGATCGTCGAGTATCGGGACAGCCTCCCCAATCCGCATCCGTATAAGAGACAAGATCGGTAATGGAGGAAGGAGAAATATGTAAACCAAGATGAAGAGTACCTTGGATATACCGGATGATACGCTTGAGAGCGTTCATAAGTTCATCCCGAGGGTCATGCATATGGAGACAAATCTGCTGAACTGCATAGGAAATATCCGGCCGCGTAAAAGTGAGATATTGCAGGGCACCCGCAAGGCTGCGGTACTGAGTTGGATCAGCATATCGTGCACCGCTGTTGGCACTCACCTTCGGCTTGGTATCAATTGGAGTCTGACTGGGCTTACAAGAATACATGCCTGCTCGATCAATGATGTCCTCAGCGTATTTTTGTTGTGATAAAAACAACCCACCCTTGTGTCGAGTCACACTGATACCGAGAAAATAGTTCAAGAAACCCAAATCCTTCATAGCAAACTCAGAGTTGAGATGAGCCATTATAGACTTGCGAAGATGCTCAGAAGACGCCGTCAGAATAATGTCATCAACGTAAAGCAGTAGGTATGCCATATCCGACCCGTGTTTGTAAATAAATAAGGAAGTATCTGATTTACTGTTAGAGAAACCAATAGAAGAAACAAAATTAGCAAACCTTTTGTACCACGCCCGAGGGGCTTGTTTGAGCCCATAGAGAGATTTACGCAGTAAACAGACATAATCAGGATGCACTTGATCTCGAAATCCCATAGGTTGGTGCATATAAACCGTTTCCTTGAGGTCACCATGCAAAAAAGCATTGCTTACATCTAACTGATGAATCAACCATTGTTTCGACAGGGCAAGACTAAGCATAGTACGAATTGTTGCTGGCTTCACTACCGGACTGAAAGTCTCTCCACAATCAATACCAACACGCTGAGTTTTACCATCACCTACAAGACGGGCCTTATGCCTCTCAAACGAACCATCAGACTTTATTTTATGAGTAAAAATCCACATAGAACGAATGAAATTAACTCCAGGAGGACGGGGTACCAAATCCCACGTCTTATTTTTAATAAGAGCATCATATTCGTCAGTCATAGCCAACTTCCAATTCGGGTCACGAAGTGCAACCACAGGGTTACGTGGGAGAGGAGATCTCGTAACCGTGATAGTATGGGCCTCGGATGGGTCAAATATAGTTTTTGGCTTAAAGATACCATGCTGGCTGCGGGTGACAGGGCGTTCGAATGGAACAGGGGGCGGTCTGGGCCGAATTGGTGAAGGGTTTGGAGGAGACATGACTGGTTGGGTCGTAGGAGAAGAAAGTGGAGTCTGTTGTGGTTGGTTTTGATGAAGAAGATACGGTGACACGCCATCATTCAAAAAATCATAATCACTTGTACTAGGTTGATGGACTTTGGTAAAAGGGAAGATAATTTCATCAAATTGTACATGCCGGCAGATTATGATTTTATTGTTGGATAAATCAAAACATTTATACCCTCGATGATTATCGGGATAACCCAAGAAAACACAGGGAGTGGATCGAGCTTGTAATTTGTGAATAGTCGTGGATGGAATAAGAGGATAACACAAGCACCCAAAAACCCGAATGTGAGAATAAGAGGGAACCCGGTGGTATAAAATTTGTAGAGGAGACGCATCGGCTAGTAGTGTTCTGGGAAGAATATTCAAAAGATGGGTTGTCATATGAAGCACATGATGCCAAAAAGAGTGTGGCAAAGAGGCATGAATAAGTAGTGTGCGCATGATATTATTAATGGATCTTATTTTTCGTTCGGCCTTCCCGTTTTGTGAGGAGGTATAAGGGTAGATGAAACGAAAAGAAATGCCATGGGACTCACAGAATTGCCGAAAAGAGACATTATCAAACTCTCCCCCATAATCACATTGTATGGTTTTGATATCTCGTTCAAACTGGGTACGAATATGAGCTTGGAATTTAGTAAAAATGGAGAATACTTGTGATTTATTAGCGATGGAAAAAGTCCACAAGAATTTCGAATAATCATCCAAAAAAGCACATAATAACGATGTCCCGAAGAACTCAAAATCGGAGAAGTCCAAATATCACTATGAATAATATCAAAAGGCATGAAAGTTTGAGAAGATGAAAGAACAAAAGGCAACCGAATATGTTTTCCCAGTACACAAGATAGTAGACTTAGATGGACTATTACAAGCAATCAGTTTATTTTGCTGAAGAATGGATAAAATGGAGTCGCCCGGGTGACCTAAACGGTCATGCCAAAGCGTTGAAGCAAGCAAAACAGTAGGAGAGGAGGCTGGATGCGGTCTGGTGGGAGTGATTGGGTAGAGAGAGCTGGTACTATCACATCTCATTAGACGTCTCCCCGTCTGTAAATCATGCACGGAAAACCCACAAGGATCAAACACCACTGACACATTATTATCAGTTGTAAATTTCCGAACAGACACTAAATTTTTAATAAGATTCGGAGTATGCAGGACATGTTTGAGATACAAAGGTGGGTTCGGGGAAGGTAATACGGTATGACCGTAACCACGAATTGGAATTGACTGACCACTACCAACAGTAACACTATTATCTTTGCTCATATTAACATAAGACGAGAGATTACCTTGTGTTGATGTCATATGAGACGTCGCCCCAGTATCCATATACCAGTTTGGATCCGATTGAGAGAGAGACATGGTGTGCATGGCGGACTCAATATCCGTAGGAGCCCACTCGGATGCTGTAGTATAGGCTTGCTGCTGCTGAGGTCGTGCTCCTAGAATACCAGGTTGTCGTGGTCCAACTTGCCTACCCCAAGGTTGAGTCGGATATGGACAAGGAGGCATGACCCAAGGTGGTTGCATCCATGTCTTCCAAGGAGGCATAGCCCATGTTGGTTGCATCGGACCCTGCTGACCACCGCCCAAGTTCGGACCACCTCCACGGTTGCCACCACGTCCAACACCCGGCGTCTGAACTCCAATACTAGTAGGTTTGCGGTTTTTTTTGTTGTTGCGGTGCTTGTTCTGTTTCCCACGTGCACGACCTGGAGGAGGATGATTAGAAATCTCATCAGTGTCATGATTAGTCACCATCATCGCATCATCAGTCGTCGCCTCCTTCATGCTGGTTTCTTCTAAGGCCAACATCGATCGAACTTCATAAAAAGGTGGTAGTACCTTTTTGTGGCGAATAACCGAAGCAACTCCCTTGTAAGCCGGTGTAAGACCACCCACCATGCGAAGAACAAGACGATTGTTCGAAACCGGAGCACCCACATTCTTGAGTTGGTCGGAAAGTGTTTTGAGGTGCTGGCAATATGCAGAAATCGAGGAGAAATCCTTCAAGTAGGTGTTGTTGAACTCGTGTTCCAAGGAAACAGCACGAGAGTTCTCATTATCCTGAAACAAATCGCGAAGACGATTCCATAGAGTCATGGCAGAAACATCGGCTTCAATAACGGTATTCAAAAGATCTGTCGAAATTGTGGAATAAATCCACTGAACCACAGTAGCATCCAACGTATCCCACAACTCTTGTTCTTCCTGACTAAAGATGGTCGGCTCTGTGGCCTCCCCGTCCTTAGATTTCGGTGGGATAATATGATGAAGAACCTTGTGAGATCGACAATGGACCTTGAATAACTCTGCCCAATTTGTATATTGGACGTTCTCCATCTCAAGAGCGATGGGAACATGTGTCTTGATGTTAGAAACAGCAAGAGCAGGGTGAAAGGATGAGGAAGATGATGTGGGAGCCATATCAGACAGAAGGACAGAAGACAGAGAAGAAGAGGAAGAGAAAAAAATAGGGTTGCAGAAGCTAGGATAGATCAACCGTAGCTGATACCATGAAAGAATGTAATTCTGTGTCTTTTTCATTACCACAGGGGTTCAATATATACACAGTCATTAGTAGATACAATCCTAATCATTAGGCTATAATTTAGGAATTAAACTATAACTTAGGCAACTAAATATACAATAGTAAATACAAAATATTTGAAGAATATTTTGTAATTAGGAATTAGGCTATAACTTAGGCAACTAAATATACAATAGTAAATACAAAATATTTGGAGAATATTTTGTAATCTATCACAGCCTTTCAAGTACCAATGGCTAAAGTATCTGATCTTCTCTCTCACCTTTTCCTGCTCTTTCGCTTCATTCCAGGTACTTATCTTCGTATTAATTGCTTCTGTTGTTGCTAGTTCAGTATGCTCACCCGGTTTCTAATTTTCATGTGTAGGCGGAACTTTGATGATGGTAAATGGGGAGGTAAATTACACAGGAACCAAGTTTTTAGACTTTGTGAACTCAGAAACTGATGAGGTGAAAATATTTTGTTACTGATTGTTGAAATGGGTTAAAAAATGCAGAAAAATTGGTGTGTGGCTAAGCCATCATCGGACCAGGCAACTCTGCTGGCAAACATTAATTTCGCATGTTCTCAGATCGATTGCCGTGTGATGCAAAAGGGTTGTCCTTGTTTCAGCCCTGATAATCTGATGAACCACGCTTCCATTGCCATGAACCTTTACTACCAGGCCAAGGGAAGAACCGAGTGCGAGTGTGGTTTTAGAGGCTCTGGTCTTATTGTCACCACCAACCCAAGTAAGTCGCATACTTGAAACCCAATGCATTTTTTGTAAATGGTCTGAGTAGAAAGGTGATGATCTTAGACGGTTCATCCTTTCTGAATTTGATGAAAAATCATAATTAACTTCAAATCACCAACTACGATTCTCCATCTAAATCGGCTAAGATGGTTGCCTCAATTTTAAATGATGGTTCTAGAGAGAAATGTTGCCATTGCTTTTCCTCTTTTCCTTTGATGTGCTAAAATCTATGTTGTGTTGGTGTTTTGTGCAGGTTATGCTGACTGCAAGTATGATTAGCTAAGCTTATGAGTGGACATGGTGTGGTTCCAGCAGTTCTACATATGTTTAAATTTACTTTAATGTTTAGATTCATATATTAAATACAAATTGATTTTAAATTTACTTGTAAAATTAATTTTTTTAATAGTATTAAAATGATTATAATGGAGTATCTATTTAAAAACTTTCTTAACCTATATATAACACGCACATATCATGTAAACACAATTGTTTGAGCTGAAAACCCTTGGTGGATTATGTTACATTAAAAGTTTAAGCACAGAGAATGAGTATTCTATATACTACAATTAATTCGATTTCTAACCTTAAGTATCTTTTTTTTGTTATGAAAAATATAATATGCGAAACACAATTCAAACAAGAATCACACTAATAATCAAGGATTCAAATAGCAACTTGATATCAGTATAGCGCCGGTTATATTGCAGTCGCGACGGCGCCCGATATTACTATCGTGGAAAATAGCGGTTTAAAGCATAACCATACTAATATCGGAGGTCATGATCGTAATTTAACGGGTAGCGGACAATCGCGACAGTAGCGGATTGTTATTATATTATTTTTCCGCTTTTTTAAATTAGTTTTTTTTAAATAACTCACTTAGAAAAATTTACAATTGCAATACCCACAATTATCACAATAACATCCATTATATATGCAACCGCGATAAACACAATACGACCAAAAATACAGACGCAACCGCAATTTAAATCTCCGCTAACATCACCAATTTCTAAACATAAACACTAAATTTCTAATATATGATCAAGAAATTCAATGTTATAAAGATGGAATTTAATATCTAAATTGATGTCTAGACTGATGAAAGGACGCGACTGATACAATATATATGTCTCGAGACTCAATTAGGATATTCTGAAGTTTATACATAAATTTAGAATTGCTGTCAGATTTTAGGGACGTCAAGTAGAATTCATCCTTTGGGGAAAAGTTGAAGGGGCAAAAAGGAGAAAGGAGCGAAATAATCAGCCTATAAATAACAAAGAAGGCAGATCTAGGGTTTTCAAATTGCCTTTTGAGAGAACAGAGCGAAGTTTACAATAAGCAGTGCCGCTCTTGTTCCGTTGCCGGCAGATACGAAACCCTAAAATAATTCCCTTCAGTTTTTGCAAGTGATTTTCTTCAACTCTTGCAAGTTTCGCAGAAAGGTAATTATACATTCCGTGGTTATTTGTTTTGTCTTTTTGAAGAATTGGCCGTTCCAAATGAGTTGTTGCTTATTGAAAAATAAACGCGATAACTCAATTTCACCCGGCCTAGATTAAATTTTTTATGGGGGCAGCCTCAGGAATTTTCATGTATTCTTTTCTGGGTTTCTCATGTTTAAATTCAGGGAAAATGCCCTAAATCTTTAAGTCCAAATTTTATCTTAAAATTGCAATCCACTGCTAACGATAAGATTTAATCGGAGCAGGGATAGTGTGTATCGACGATGTGCAAATTTTCCGGTGCACTATGTTCGAAAGATTTTCCTGCAAAATTGATTCGGGGAAGGTGGGCAGTTGTGTTTCATATCCATCGTTGATACTTTTCAACAATCATCTTCCCCATATTGTAAGCTATTATCTTATGATAATTTTATCGGCTAATTTATCCATTTTTGTACTACATTTTTAAACTATTTAAAACACCTCTTAAAGGATATTTTTCTATATATCAGTTTATTTTTAGCACGAAAGTCAACAAATGCAAACAAAAAAAAGGAATTAAAAAAATCATTTAAGTTAAAGGGAATTCACTAATAAATGGTGATTGGTTTATCTGAATATAAAACGAAAAGAGAAGTGAAAATTTGTAGGAGAATAAATAATATCTCATTAACACTATGATAAAATTAACTGTTATTTATAAATTAATTAAATAATTTAATCAAATAAATGAATTCAAAATGATTATTCTATTTTAATTTTCTTTTAAAAAACCTATCGTGAAAAAAAATTAAAAAAAGGTGCTAACACTAAGTTAAATAGATGTTATATTTTAGTACATAAATTTATCAATTAAATATATAATACTTATTTTGTAAAGGTATTATGTTTTAAGCTCATGTATTAAATTGATCTCTTTTACTATCTCATCTTTTATATTATGAATTAAATGAAGGTCATCCAAATATCGTCAAAAAATATTTTACAATTGATGTTTTGATTTGATCAATTAGATTACATAATTATTTAAATACTTTAGTAAAACCACTTATCATTAATATTTAATATATGATGTCGCAGTTGAAATATTTTACTATAATTACACAATTGGTTGTTATTTATATATTCTTTTAATTTGATCTTAATTTTAATAAATTAAAATAAATTTAACCATCAAATCAGGATATGTCATGTATCATCATTGATGACACTATTATATCATGTGTTATCGTTTGAGCGTGAATTAAATTTATATTAATTTATTTTTAATTTAATAGATTTATTTTCTTCCAATCAGAAGATCTCACCCTCTTAAAAGAAAATAAATTACCATCACCAATGGAGATGTGGATTCAAATCCTAGCCACTTGGCTAGAATAGTTAGAGCCAAATGATTCAATTGGTATACTTTGGTATACTTTGGATAACAAATAATATATATCTTATATCTTAGTAGGTAAATGTTTTACTCAAAACTAATAATATTTTATATATCTTAAATTTTAAGAATATCTTTTATTTTTATTTTAACTTATTAAATGTATTTTATTTTTGTCTTAACTTATTAAATATATTTTATTTTTATTTTAAAGTAAAAATATATATTTTATCATTATCATCACTTAAAAACATATTTTGTAAATTTCCCGTAATTAAATATTTAAATAAAATAGAAAAAAAAAATTTTATTTTTATCTTCACTTGAAAATATATTTATTCTTCCCTTATATTAAAATAAAAAATAAATTTTATATTTTATATTATAAGATAATAATGAAATATATTTTATATTAAAAATAAAAATAAAATATATTTAATAAGATAAAAAATAAAATATATTTTTAAAATTTAAGATATATAAAATATTGTTAATTTTGAGTAAAACATTTACTAAGATATAAAATATATATCATTGATGTCCAAAATATACCAATCGGATGCCTTTACTCAATAGTTTGACTCTCGATATTCCAACCAAATAACCATGGCTTAATTCACATTATCGTTGCTGTTAGTTATTTATTTTCTTTCAAGAGGATGACACTAATATTTAACGTTTCACATCTTGATTTAACGTTAAACTTATTGTAATTAATTAAAATTAGGATCAATTTGAAATAATATTTAAATAACATAGACCAATTATATCATTATACCAAAATATTTTTAACTGTCACGTTATCTCATCCGTTAAATGTTAACTGCATGTGACTTGATTTAAGCATTTAAATAGTTTGGTGGTATGATCAATCAAATTAAAATATCGGTGGTCAAAATAATTTTTGACCATAGTTAAGTTGTCACCCGTAAAATTTACCTTTAAATGAATTTTTATATTGAAAACAATAATTAAATGAATTGTTATTTAAATAATTATGAATCAAATACATTTTAATTTTTTAAATCTATTTTAATTACATTTTTTAAAAATAAAAAATTCAATTCATAATTCAAATAAGAAACATGCATAAATGTGAAGTACACAAATGATCATTCGATTATAAGATATTGTTTTTATTAAATCTCTCATTTAATAAAAACTAAAAAAATGATCATTCGACTATAAAATGATATTTTGTTAAGTTCATTGAAAATTAAAAGTTATAAAATAGTTGCCTAAATATTCATTATGTTCTAAATTTGTCCCTTTTTGTTAAAGATTTAATGGTTGTCTTAGTTGGATGTCAACATGACAATTGGAATACGATAATCGTTTGAAATTCTGTAATCAGATTTTTTCATATCGCAATCAACGTGTGAGATTAAAAGGGGTGTGAGATTAAAAGGGGTGTGAGAGAAACTATAACAACGAAAGTTGACTCTTATCTCAAAGCTCCGTGACCCCAAGAATGGCCACGTCACGACGATCCCTTCTTCTTCTGAGAACACTTATAGCCGGAAAAACCCAAACCCGAACTGTGACCAACATGCCCCAGCCGGGAGATGGTGCCCCGAGACCCGTGACTCTTATCCCAGGAGACGGGATCGGGCCGTTGGTGACGAACGCGGGGAGCAAGTGATGGAAGCAATGCACGACCCAGTGTACTTGGAGAAGTACGAAGTCCACGGCGACATGAAGCAGGTGCCGACCGAAGTCATTGATTCGATGGGTTGTTCTTAGAGTCTTGCTGTGAAGTTGCGCTGAAGTATCCGGGTATCAAGTATGATGAAATTTTCGTGGACAATTGTTGCATGCACCTTGTTTCCAGACCAGAGCAATTTGATGTCATGGTATGTAAATTTATATATACTTTATAGATCATTTTTCAGTATGAACTCCTTTGCTTGGTATAATATTTATGAAATTTTCTTTTATGTTGCATCCCAGTTATGTTATTTTTCCGGTGTTCAACCGTCGTGTTCGTGTTTAGGTTACTACCAATCTTTATGGAAATTTTGTTGTAAATACAGCAGCCGGAGGTACTGGTGTCAGGCCTGGAGGTATATATTATTGGACAATGTGTTCTGATTCCTACTAACATGCTGGTTTTTGGTTCTTTGATCGGAACCTAACTGTATAGTGTGATTATGCCGTCTTTCATTAAAAAAAATTCTCCAGCGTAGCCAATGTGGGAGCTGAATATGCCGTGTTCGAGCAAGGTGCTTCTGCGGGGAACGTGGGAAACGAAAAGATCGTTAGTCAAAAGACAGCGAATCCGGTGGCGCTGCTCCTATCTTCTGCCATGATGTTGAGGCATCTCCAGTTCCCTTCATTTGCCGATCGACTCGAAAATGCAGTGAAACGTGTAATCTTAGAGGGCCGGTACCGGACTGAAGACCTCGGCGGCGATAGCACTAATCAAGAAGTTAATTGATGCTGTCATTGCTAAGCTGGACTGATTTTCTTAAATTTTCTATGTCATTCTTAGATTTAAAAAATTATGTCTTTTTTTCCTCCAAACAATATTTCTTTTAAATTTTTTTTTGCAATTTATGGGGGATTACTACTTCACTGTTGCATTGGATGAATTAAGCATACGACATTTTCTTTGCAGTTTTAGTATATTGTTCTTCATTTATTTATTTTTATTTTAATCATTCGAATATTAAATCATAAATAAGCATCGAATCCGATGTATTGTTTTGTTGAATCTCCTGACTATCAAAGGTTATAAAATGATCATTCGACTATGGAATGTTGTTTTGCTAAGTTCTTCGACTATTAAAAGTCAGAAAATGATCACTTGACTATTCTTTATGTTCTCCTTCCCCTTCATCGTTAAAGATTTGGTTGTGTCTAAGTTGGACATTAGCATGATGCTGAGATACGATAGTTGTTTGAGATTCTGAGATCAGATTTTATCATATCACAGTCAACAGGTTAATGTTCAGCTTATAATACTATCAGTTTTTAACGAAAAAAATACTATTTTATAACACAATAAATAGTCAAATGATCATTTTATAATTTTTAATAGTCGAGAGATTCAACAAAGCAACACTCTATAATTAAAGGATCATTTTGAAACTCGATAAAACAATACCTTAAATCGGGAATCATTTGTGTACTTCACGCTTAAAAAAAATCCCCGACAGAACCATCTTTGGTAGTCTACCAAGGTCCACCAGGGTTCAGAGTTCAAGCAGATATTATAAGAATTGTACAAGATTAAGAATTTAAAAGTTAAATCTTATTATTATTGAACTTGAAACGAATTGTTTGTTGTAAATTATGAGAAAAGACAACTCACCGGAGAGAAAATTAAAGGGCATATACATTATTTTGAAAAACCATCCATCTTTCAATCAGGATAAGAACTCTGCTTTACCATCATCCAGCTTTCGCTATTAGACCAACAAGGAGTGCAATTGTCGCAAGAAAGGCCTGCAAAAACCAACCAACATGGTGTCTTATAGCATTTTTGGTTGGGTGCAACCTAAAGTGTTAACATTTTCTTAGGTCTGTGTCTCATAGGACACGAATAATTCAAGGAAAACGAAGAGTCAAAAACAAGATCATCTCCCTAACTTCGATAATCAAATCCAATGCAGGATGGCTTCCCTAAAACTGGAAACATAAAACAGAAGTACCGATAGATAAAGATACTCACGCCGATTGAGCAAGCGATATATCCGGGCTTCTCTCTGTAGTCTATCCTTGAAAAAGCTAAAATAATGAATCCGGCATACCAGGGAACGGCACCAAGGAAGAAACCAATGATAAACCTTCAAAGCAGGATGCTTCTCTTATTAAACAAGAAAGTTTTTTATTCATAAAAGACATAAACGGAAGCTACGAATACCGAAAACCATGACAAATATAACAACAAACATCATGCCAACTTGTAGAAGCAGCCTTTAGCCCTTTACTTAACAATTGTCATGGAAATGGGAGCTTGAAACAAGAAGAGATAAACATTTCACAGGTGCATTACATCATAAATTCCAGTCATTTCAAGTATGAATGCCATTGTGGTATAGTTTATCTTTGTATTGCAAACATCCAGCT